GAAGGACAAAGATGGTCAGTATTCGCAGCACCGGTGCAGAGAAACGTCACCTGACAGTAATTTTGACGGTTCTTGCAAATGGTACGGTTCTACCACCAATGATTATTTTCAAAGGTGTAAGAAAGTTGAACTTGAATGTACCAAAGGACATGGTCGTCGAAGTACAGAAGAAAGGATGGTGTGATACCGAATTAATGAAGATTTGGCACAGACGTATTTGGCTCCCGTATACAAAAGGCCGTCAATCACTCATCATATTCGACTCCTTCCGTGGACATCTCAAAGATTCGGTAACCAACCAACTTCAATCAAACCAGACGTACCGAGCTGTAATTCCAGGCGGATGTACGTCCAAACTCCAACCACTTGACGTCTTGATCAATAAGCCTTTTAAAGAATATCTGCGCAAGGAATGGTGCGAGTTCATCGACAGTCAGCTAAAGCTCATCGGTCCAGGTGAACGTCCCAAGACATCTTCGAAACAAGACATCGTCAACTGGGTTTCACGAGCGTGGGACAAACTTCAAGACAGACCTGACATGGTGAAGTTGTCATTCGTCTGTACCGGCATAAGTAGTGCACTTGACGGATCTGACGACCCAGACTACTACTCCGCTTCGATACAGCATGAAATTGAATCAACGGCAGCCGCTCAGTTGAACGTAAATTTGGACCCAGACGACGACAGTTCACCGGAGAATGAAGTCAGTAGCGACAGCGATTCAGAAGACGATGTACCAGAACTCAGCAATAAAGAAATTCTTCAACGTTATTTCAATTCGGATGACAGTGGTAGCAACTTTGACGGGTTTGATTGATTAATTTCACTGAACAATTTCATAGCTAACAATATTTTTTTTGACACTGCATATCTGTACCAGTATTTTTTATATTTTAATTTCAATGTCAGTATTTTCCTGTGTCAGGAGTTTACATACATTTTCAACTGGCATATTTTTTCTCTTATTTATTTGACATTTGTTATTCCAATAAGTGTTTTTTACTGAATAAATTAATTGCAATGATACATCATTAATAATTACTTGTCTGTTTTTGTTGTGTGTGTGTTTGCCTATCCCCTTCCCTATTTCACAATGAAAAAGTTTGATGCCACTGGCTACAAAGTTGTCAAAATGTTACCTCAAATAAGCACCACCCAGAAATGAAGTGTTACAAAGTGGCTCTTATTTGAGGGTTTTAATGGTAACATATCTGTCATTCATTTACTTTTGTAAGCATCCTTGGAATATTCATGTTAATAAACATCTCCCGATTCTACCATGTATGGCGCCCTTCAGTTACACCAAAAATGGCAGAGGAAGGCAGAGGTTCCATATTTACACTTACTGAATGTTTATTAAAAAAATGTATTATGAACTCTACTAGAAATCCCCCATACCTGATGTATTTCTTGTTTTGATCGCTTATTCATATCTGTTACTCAGTACATTTCTGTAAAACCATTAATTTTCAACAGCTTATAATTTCAATATTTTGATGTTTTGAGCAATTTCACTGGGTTTTAAATTCAAGAAATATTGTTTTTCTGCGTGTTAATTTAGCAAACTTTACATATCAACGAAAATAATGCATTTACAGTAGTGATATATCTTATATCAGTGACAGATCGTAGGTTAGTCTTGGTGCTCTGAGACACATGTCTGTAAGAGTGAGTCAATGCAATGCAATGCTGTCAAGTCAGTTGAATACATTACATCATGTATCCACTCTTTGTCTATTGTATTACTTCTATGCGATCAATGTGTGAGAATAATAGCTCCATTCTTTGGGAGTTACCTAACTAATTACATTCTACGTCAGGTGTGAGTTGTTACACATGCATCCAGGAATGAATATATGTATGTGTAGGTTGGATTTATCAAAGAACGCAAGGAGGATATAAATTGTGAATAAAAAAATATAACTAAATAAATGAACCCTCTACCATAAATGCATTTTGCTGTTTGATCAAATAAATATAATTATTTTTTCTCTAAACAATATGTGTACCATGTTTGCTCTCTTAGTAGCATGGAGCTGCACTTCTAAAAGACCAAATATAGTAATTAAGTAAAATTTATCTATTTTTCAATAAATATGAACAATTTTGAAATTCATCTGTTACAAAAATTGAGATTTTTAAAAAATTTAGTTTTTTCGAAAGTCATTGTGTTGTTCCACTGTTTGGATTTTTCTGTGAACAAAAAGATTACAGGATGTACACCAATACAGGTAACAACAAGACAACCTGCCTATAAGTCTGGTGCATGATATGTTTGTAGTGTATTGAATTGACGCCCTCCTGCATAGATCACTATACTTCATATTCCTTAAGAACTAGTACAGTCCTATTGTTTGTTATGCATCTTGTCGGGTTTTACCATTTGCAAATAGATGACACAACATTACTTTGAAGTGTGGGATGTAGTTGAGGCATAGATTGCCTGTTGGAAGTTGAAAATATTTTATTTCCCTCCAACACTACTGCTGTACATCCTATAGTTTATATGAAATTGTCCAGCCACATTGTCCTTAGGTGACTCACTGGGTTGGACCATTTTTAATCAGGGTGCTACAAGTCTTATTATGGGAGAGATGAACACTGATATTGTTGGGTAAGTAAAAAAAAAACTTCTATGGATGTTTTATTCTAATGCAGTAGGGTATGTCCTAAACAGTGTTGGTTCTATTTACCTGAACACAAAAACATCTTATGGTCATTGGCTCACATGTACAGCAAAGTGTAAACAACTTTAGTTTCACACTGTCAAAGCAACAATACAACGTATAGGATATAGTCAAGTTAACACACACACCCTCCATTAAAAAGAAACACATGACAGAAAGTACAAAAGACTGTATCTATTTAAACTATGTGCTACAATAGTATCATCTGCTTCAGCTCATACGCTATTATTCTGGATTCAATATGTCTTCAGATTACTCCAGCAAACAGCATGGGAATGGCTATGACTTTGTCATGTTGTAAATGGTCTGTACTGTGAATATAGCGGCCATGACTTTCTCCTACATGTAGCTGTTCCACAAGGCAGTGGTAGAGATGTCTTTACTATGTTGGTATGCTTGGTAACACTTTTTATTTAATGCTAGCTATTGGTTGTACACATGTTCGATGGACTTGTGTGTTTTATTAATGTCACCAGCTGTAGACGGTTGTACCCAACTTAAATCACTGAGAATAGAGGAAATGCTGTAGTGCAAAGTTATTTTATGATCTGTGTACTTCATAATTAACGCACATAACAGTTATGCCCAAATGTCATAAGTTTGACATCAAGATGTTATGTTTTATTTAATTCCTGATAACAGGTATCATGTGTCATCTGAAGTCTTGATAACCATCCAGATATAAGTAAGGAGGCCTTTGACTTGAGCATAGTGGGTCATTCTGGAGTCTAGTGTTTTGGTAGTGTTCTCATCATTGATTGACGTTTGCAGTAGACAGATTATTTGGTTAAAAGTGAGTTGTTATTTTTTACTGTCGCCTCAGTCATATAAGAAGGTCATCACAACACTTTTAAAGTCTGGCTATATATATCATGTTTGTGTGAATCACTACAAAAGGCAACTGTTTCTTCTTGAGGACAAGGCCATTTCACTTGGAGGAATCATGTCAAAGGTCACGATGATGATGACATTTTAGTTGTATAATATTACTCAGTTGGTTGCAAGCTGAGTTGCATGTACTCCATCTAGTTGCGCCAGTTAACTCATCATACTTAGAGTCTGTATAATCCAATATAAACTTGAATATTGAAGATCTGGATTTAATTTGTTGTAGTTGGTGATTGAATGTTCGTCTCTACTGCAGTTATGTCATAATACATTTCCTTAATTAACTGCTGTTACTATACATCTATAGTATACAAATGGCTTAGCTGGGTGCTACCAGAATTTTTTTGTGTGTGTGTGTTAGTAAAACTTAGCAGAAAACTATAAAGAGCAATCTTTTCCCTTATACCAAAGCATCATAATATAGTTTTTTGTTGTCTTCATTATGAAATATTTTGTAAATTAGAAAACATTTTTAATTTGTTACATTTATGAATGACAGGAAGAGTTATGTCTTTACATTAAGTTCACTTTTTACAGTGCAAGCTGGACCATAGCATGTGTGCTTGACAAATATTATAATATAGAACTTCCAGGATAAATTGATGTATTTCATCCATCACACTAATAGTATCATAGTATAGCAGGTCTTATTCAGCTCTGACTACATTCTGTGATATATAAACTATTTCACTCCGTGTTTACACATGTGTCGAATAAAAGAGACATTGATCAAGAAAAAGTCAGTCTTTCATTCATCCATTATGTACTTTACATGTCAATGTTTTCTATTGATCAGTTCAGCTATTTGGGCAGCTAGTGGCTATCTTGAGAGAAGCAGGTCAAGTGTTGCTACATTGTGGCAAGTTTTATCAATTTGGTGAAATCACTTAATGTCAGTCTGTGTCTCTTAACGCTGAAATAATTGGATGAAATGAAAGATACATATTCATTATTGAGTTATTGGATAAATGTCATTTTGTGAGAGCAGATGTGTACTTTGTAAGGTACTTGAGAATTGAGTTTAGATAATTGGTCTGGTCCAATTGAATTAGCTGCTGTTCTGTTACTTAGTTGAACTTTGTTACTTAACATTATTTGTGTTACACTGCTCTACTGTCAATCACACCTGAAAACTGACGAATTATATTGTGTTACAACATGCCATTGTCCTTATTTGGACAATTCATTGTGTTATTGCTGTATTCTGTTCAGATGATTTGACTATCGCATTCCTTTGGCCCTGAATCTGCATAGCATGTCATTTGATTAATCGGTACTATCAATTCATGCTCCTTTCATGGGCTGAAATTAAAACTTAATGTTGCCTGTCCAATGGACAGGTTGGAGAATGAAAAATGCCTGTCCCTGGATAAATTACGACATCTTTTTATCTATCGACAAAGGACAGGCAATTTCTACATTTATCTGTCCAAGCTAAAATCTGCCAATCTTGGACAGTTTGTCTTAATGTCAACTAAAAAATCAGAGCATATTAATAAAAACAAACTAAAACAAAGCACATCACATCAGATTGTATGATTGTATTGACTTTGTGTACCATCTATGTGTTTCAACATAACAGCATAACATATGCTATAAAAATAATGAACTCCCTCCAATGTCATGTTGGATTCAGAGTTGATTCTGTGCTTGAATCAACGACTCATCCATTATGACAGGTTGTTCATTATTGTTATGGTATGGTAATGTTGTCCTGCTTTATATTTAAACATGTTAGTTAATTTGCATATGAACGGTTAATTTTGATGACAATTTATAAAAAAAATACTACATTTCCTAAAGAGTTGTATCTCATTTCCTAAAGAGTTGTGCACATTACAAATTTCTTATAAGCTGGATCATTGAAATATGACTTATTTTGACCATAGTTACACATCTGTCAGAAAGAACCACTCTTCAGGATGTATTGTCCAATAAACAGCAATTTCTTATTTGCTCTATAAGTAGTGCATTGTGCTTGTGTTAAATATCAGAGATCAAGTTGTCCCTCCATGTTGATGCTCTCTAATGTGTCACAGTTTATTTTGTAGTAGAGTTATGTACATACAGGTAATGTCTTGTGGTATGTGTAGTTTTATGAGGAAATAGTGCTGCTAAATGCTAACAGGTTTAAATACTTGTAATGTTTGATGAAAACAGGATGCCTATACAGACAGTGTGTTTTATCGTTGGCTCCAGGATTCCTCTTGACCTGAATTCTTTGTGGGTGCAATACATTTGAAACTTGCCAGTGGATTGATTTTGCCAGTGGCTGTAATGTTTGGGATAAAGAAGGTTTAGGATGAGATGAAACAGCTATATTATAAAATAAGCAAAAGAATTACACAACTGTGGAAAGATTGACACATGGTTACTATAGTAACCATGATTGACATCATTCACATACTTCTGTAGCCTTAAGTTCAACCATTTGATTACTGAAGTCAATTTATGACTTTTCACAAAATAAACTCGCATAATTTTTTCCAACATTCTGATCAGGACCTAGTAAGAAATTGTGTTAATTTAGTTGAAAATTTATAAGGAAATTGTAGAAAAATACATTAAAAAGGTTGCAGGAAGAGTTTGGTGGTATATTCAAAGGGCTGTATTTGAGAAAGATTTGAAAAATTATATTATATTTCAAATTAACAAAGTTGCTGTTTGGACAAAGTCTGAAAACGAGAATTTATGAATTGATACCATTTGGTGTGACGTGATCCCAACCATATATTGGACATGCCTGGACTGATCACATTTAAACTTCATACCTACTTCATATATCGTGACGTGACGTTCATTTGTTTCATTATTCAATTCAAGTTGGTTGAATAGCAACTAATGATATGTTTAAAATTCATCAAAATCAAGTATATCTGCCATTCCGGTATCTGATCTCAGTCATGTATGGATGGGTTTTTGTTCCAACTTGGTGCGTGCATTAAATATATTGAAACCTTGATGCATGTCATTTTGTTTTTCAGATGGGATTCAAAATGGCCAACTGGTGGCCATTTTGTAAAAATCTATGACAACTTTTTGGGAAGGGGAAGTGAAAGAAACTTTTACTAGAACAAATTATAAATCTGATGAACTGAAAAAGCAAATCAAATACATTAATTGTATATGGTTCAAGGCTAGAGGGATTTCAGTATATACAGTACATTTATATTGTTAAGTATGTCTGAAGTCAATGACTTGTAGTAGTGCACCACCTGTCGGCTATCATCCTGTTTGTTTCCATATGTACTGTTATGTCAAGTAAATTATGTATAACACCATGAACTGGTCTTTGCTGGATACACAGTTTAGATAATACATTGTTAATAGCTCTTATTACGCTATAACTCTGGCCAAAGGCCAGTAAATATTTTATAATAGCCCCAAGGACTAGTAGAAACAAGGTGGGTGTAATTCTTGTAACTTTTTGAATCATGATATTTTAGCTGTATACCGTATTTTTTCTATTGCACTCACAATGTACTGGTATATAAAATAAAATAGAATAGTGTTTTTATTGACAATTTTGACTATAAAGTCAATAAACCTTTTCATAAAGCAAAACAAAATAAAGTAAACTAAATAACCAAGTCAAAGGAGAACAAATTTTGAACCATAAATATAAATTAAAATGATTAAACATGTTTTGTCACAATTGACAAAGGAATTGTTGAGTGATGCAAGTATTCTTGTCATTGTTATTCTTGAGTTTGAATATCAGCATTGTCGACACATATTTATGCTGCGACCAGTTACGTCTTACAATGCTAAGGCCAGGAAAAAAAATTCTGTTTCTCGTTTCATGGAAATTTTAAAATGAGGCTGCAAGGCAATTTCTTTTTTAAATACTGAGCTAAAATGGGGGAAATTTGAGACAAGTGCGAGTACAAGCACATTTTTGACTCCCGTGTGCGAAGCACAAAAAGGGAGTCTTTGCAGTTAGTATGTCTGT